GAGCGGCCACTGCACTCCAGTCTGGGTGACAGAGTGAGACTCCAACTCAAAAAAAAAAGAAAGAAAGAAAAGAGTAAGGAAAAGAGAGAGAAGAGTAGGGGAACATGGGAGGCTTCACAGAAAACATAAAATTTAAAAACCTTGAGAGTTGAGTAGAATTTAAACAAATGGAGACAGTTCTCCCTACAGCTAAGAATTTCTTTTTATCTGAGATATAGCACATACTAGTTATATCTACCTTTTTTTTTTTTTTTTTTTTTTTTTTTTTTTTGGTATAAAGTCTCACTATGTTGTCCAGGCTGGTCTCAAGAAATCCCCCTGCCTCTATGTTGTCCAGGCTGGTCTCAAGAAATCCCCCTGCCTCAGCCTCCCAAAGTGCTGGGATCACAGGTGTGGTCACTGCGCCCATCCCCTAAAACTTCTTGTATCAAGACAAAGTATACATAAATACTAGTTATAGGGACTTCAGCAAGTTTTCTAAACTCTCTGACCTTAAACATTTCCTCACCTATAAACCAAGGATAATAATACCTCTTAGCACAACTACAAGTATTAAATTAAAACACTGATTAATTACGCACCAACCAGGATAACTACAACTAACTTTACAATCAATAACTGCTAATTATTTGCCTCTATTTCTTAATGTATACCCTTTTGCTTCACTTTCAAAGTAGATTAACATTTTCAGTTTAAAAATTATTTTATAAAGTAAAATAACTATTTTGGGGCACAGATTTCCAATTAAATTTGCATTTTTCTTTCTGAAAATAAAAATAACCATTTTTTCATTCAAATCTCCCTTTACTGAGACTGTATTATATTATAGAAAGTCAATTTAACATTGTATTTTACATATGCGTGAAAACAAAATCACATTTTGTTTAGGGTCCATAATGTGCACAGCACTATACAAAGTCCTTCCTATTCACTTGGCCTTCTAACTCTCACACCTCTGGCTGGGCATGGTAGCTCACGCCTATAATCCAAGCACTTTAGGAAGCCTAGGTAGGATTGCTTGAGTCCAGTTCAAGACCAGCCTGGGCAACATAGCGAGACCTCATCTCTACAAAATATATCTAAAAATGCCATGTGAGTGTAGTCCCAGCTACTCAAGAGGCTGAAGAAGGAAGATACCTGAGCCCAGGAGGTCAAGGCTGCAGTGAGCCATGATTATGCCACTGCACTTCAGACTGGGCATTGGAGTGAGACCCTAACTCAAAAATAAACCAAAAAAAACCCTCTTATACCCTTGAAACAGGTATAATGACCTCACTTATAGATGAAAGCGGGACTTAGAATTAAGTGACTTGTTCAAGGTACGTAACTATTATGTTATTGATCCAAAACCTGGCTATTAAACATTATGCTATACTATCTCCTATCCTGTAAGACAATACTATACTATAGTACAAGAACAGATACTTGACTCATATATAATTGAAACTATAAGAGCTCAACCTCACTAGTAACTATTTTTCAAAATTCAAGATAACAACAATAAACATCAATCAAAATAATAAATGAGAAAAAGCAAAACAATACTTGGAGAAGCAATAAGAAAACAGAAATACTAGTATATCTGCTGATTATAAATAAGTATAATTCTGTTGGAGGACTATCTGGCAATACATAAAGAGTCCTAAAAAATACGTAAGTATCCCCAGTCCTAGAAATTTATCTCAAACAAACAAACAAAAATCCACCAAAATAAGCTACATTAGCAAAATGTTTGAAGCACTGTTTTCAATATCAAAAAACTGGAAACAACCTACATGTGAAGAAACGGTCATGAAAATCATGGGTTTAGGAATAACACTACGGCCAATAAAAGATATGATCTACATCACATCACAATGAATTATTACAATTTTTTTCTCCCATAATGGGTATATACAACATGCAAATACATAGAAATGTGTTTATAAAATGTTAAGTAAAAAAAAAAAAGAGAGAGAAAACTCTCCATATGTCACAGAAGTCAGAAACATAGCAGTATAAAACTGTGTGCATATGTGAATAAAAAATTAAGCAATAAAAAAATGTTTAATGCTCGGACACGGTGGCTCACATCTGTAATCCCAACACTTTGGGAGGCCAAGGCGGGAGGACTGCTTAAGTCCAGAAGTTTGAGACCAGACTAAGCAACATAGCAAGACCTCATCTCTACAAGAAATAAAAATAAAATTAGCTGGACATGGTGGCATACACCTATAGCCCCATCTACTCGGTAGGCTGAGTTGGAAGGGTTGCCTGAGCCCAGGAGGTCAAGGATGTGGTGAGCTGTGATCATGCCACCGCACTCCAGTCTGGGTGACAGAGTGATGAGACTCTGACTTTAAGAAAAGTGCTTTTTAAAGTATGGTTGGTTGTGTTCATGTGATGGGATTACACAACTGGCTTTTTGTGTGTTGTTTTTTTTTATTTTTGAGTCAAGGTCTTACTGTCACCCAGGCTGGAGTGCAGTAGCATGATCACGATGATCACAGCTCACAACAGCCCAACCTTCTGGGTTCAGGCAATCCTTCCACCTCAGCATTTTGGGTAGCTGGGATTACAGGCGCATGCCACCATGCCCAGCTTTTTTTTTCCTTAGAGACAAAGTTTGGTTATGTTGCCCAGGATGGTCCCAAACTCCTGAGCTCAAGTAATCTGCTCACCTCAGCCTCCCAAAGTGCTGGGATTATAGGGGTGAGCAATCACACCCAGCCTGTGTATTACTTTCTTAACTGAGATTTTCCTCTACTCACCAATTCCATTTAAAAACACTGGAAACAGTTATTAAATGCTTACTCTCAGTATCACCACCCAACACAAGAGACAAACTGGGTGCTGCAGAAGAAATGCAGCAGCACCTCACCCAGCCTAACAGGGAAGGTGACATTGTTTTCTATTCTTCAAACATGTACTTTCTCCTCTTTGCTTGATTACCATTCCTAAACCAGCTCTAAAAACAGTTGGACCAATATACCAGAAATGTATACTGTTATAATGAGAACTTTTTACATAACAAAACATTGCCATAGATTAGTGACCATTGACCCATTTTCCCAGACAAAAAATATTTAGAATACTTACTTGTTCCTTTTCAAAGTGAATCATTTTCCTGAAAAAATGAATTGACAGTGGACGGCTTTCCTGTAAACTAAAAAGGAGGGAGGAAATGTTATCTTCTACAATGACAGAAAGCCTAATCTTACATCTCATAAATGTAAATACTCATGCCAGTGCCTCTACAACATGTAGTTTAATGATATGAGGGCAATTCAACACAAGGACCTGACCTGATGGCCCATCACTCATAACTCAATGAACTCTTTCAACCATACTTACTCTTCAATGCCACTAGATTCCCTCAGTTTTCTTACTGTACTATCTTTCTCTCTTTTAGAGTCTTAAGTTTCCTCGACTACATCTCAAAGTCTTTGTGAAGACCAATAATTTCATTTTTTTTTTTTTGAGTTGGAGTCTCACTCTGTCGCCCAGACTAGAGTGCAGTGGCCGCTCCTGGCCACCGCAGCCTCGACCTGCTGGGCTCCGGCAATCCTTCCACCTCAGCCTTCCAAGTAGCTGGAACTACAGGCGTACGCTACCACACCCGGGTAATTTTTTTGATTTGTTGTAGAGATGAGGTCTCACCAAGTTGCCCAGGCGGGTCTCGAACCTGCAGGCTCAGGCAATTCACTCACCTCAGCCTCCCAAGGCTCGGGATTACAGGCTGAGCCACCAAGCCCAGCTAATAATTCCATTTCTAAGAATATATTCTAAAGATATAATTTCCATCATGGACAATTAATATTTTACAGAAATGTTCACTGCAGTAATACTATGACCAAATAAATTATGGAAAACTACAGGGTAGTATATCACACAGCTATTTTTATGAAGTGATATTTATAAAGAATTTTTTTTAAGAGGAAAAGTTTCACTATGTTACACAGGCTGGTCTCAAACTCCTGGGCTCAAGTGATCCTTTCACCTTGGTCTCCCAAAGTGCCGGGATTACAGATGAGCCACCACATCCAGCCAAGAATTTTCACTGAAGAGAATAAAGGCCAGTCTAATGTTCATCAATAAAAATGGCATACAAAATTGTGATTATAAAATAATCCCAACTACATAAAAAGCAAATTTTAAAATGATGTATCAACAGGGGCTTCTCTATGATTAGATTGTAACAAATTATTAGTTAACTTTTTCTTCCACACAATGGGTATGAATTTATTATTCAAAAAAAGAAAAACTACTTTTGCAAAAAAAAAAAAAGGACTACTTCTTGGATTACTTCCTCAGATACTATTTGTGTTATAAATAATCTGGGTATGAAGGACTAAGTATGGGGTGGAGAGACAGTAACAACTATGGACATCTATGAGTACCTTTTAAACACTGTTCTGGCCTTTTTGTAGCCACCACTTCGATAAGCCCAATCCATGTACTTATCCTTCAGAATTACTGATTCTGCACCTGTGACAGCTAAGACAGCATTCTACAATTTAAAAAAATAAGAAACAAGCCATGTGAGGATATTTACAGATACCAAAGCAAATGTTCCCAGAACCCCTCCAGGTCACTCAACAGAGCTTTAGGAACACCTGCTGATGAAACAACCCTAGAGTTGGCCAACCAGTGAGCCTATCTGCCCATTCCACATACCAGAAGACTTAGAACATGGGGCATATACCTTAAAGATTGCCTCGGTGTCTTCTTGGCTTTTGGCACCTTCACTCCACTCTGCCCAAGAAAGCCACAATGGCAGGCAAGCCTGCTCATAATTTTAAAATGTTAGAAAAGAAAATAGCAAGTAACAAAATATCACATGTACCCCATAAATATGTAAAATAATATATCTCAATTTTTTCAATGTTAGAAACTGACAGTTTAATGCTATGCTCTCAAAACTAAACATTAATAAAGGTAGGTTCCTTCTAAGATAATATGTAAAATATGAATTCATTTCCAGTCTGTCCTCATTGTGACAGAATTCTCACTGCCCAGCAGGAATGGCATACCAGAACACAAGTAGTTGTCTCATCAAGACACGAAAAGAAACATTCTTCTGGCTGGGCTTGTTGGCTCATGCCTGTAATTTCAGTACTTTGGGGGGCAGAGGCAAGAGGACTGCCTAAGCCCAAGTGTTTGAGACCAGCGTAGGCAACTTGGCAAGACCTCATTTCTACAATAAATCAAAAAATTAGCCAAGCATGGTGGCATGTGCCTGTAGTTCCTGCTACTTGGAAGGCTGAGGTGGAAAGATCACCTGAGTCCAGTAGGTCGAGGCTGCAGTGGCTGTGAGCGTGTCACAGCACTCCAACCAGGGTCAGAGTGAGACTCCAACTCAAAAAAAAAGAAAAAGAGAAACACTCTTCTGCGAATTTTAGTTCCCTTCTGTTGGGGAATACTGCCTATAGTCATCCTCATCAATTGTCTTTTAGTTAATTAAGCAATTAACAGCCCACACCTACTCAGACCCTCAGCTAGCCAGGTCATGCCTCTGCTGGCCAGGACCCATAAGAATTGACTGATCTAGGCTAAACGATCTGATCTTCACTCATGTTCCAAAGAAATACACAAAGGAGCGGTAAAATAGTTTTCTTCTCACTTCATCTTCTAGAATACTTTTTCCTACTAATATGAAAGACTCCCTACAAAGCTTTAAGATTTAGAACTTTAAGGTTTAGAAATATATTTGTGTTTAAAAATTGGGCTTATGTTCAGCTTTGGAAACAAGTAAGAATAATAATCTGTTAGTATCTCACCTGTAAGAGATCTAAATGGAATAATAAGTTTTATATAGTTTAATTCATTTTGAAATAAAAGATTCAAAATAGACTTAAATTAAATTAAATAGAAATAAATTGTTCTACTCTTGACTGATGAGCCATCACCACTTAACAACAAATGTCATTCTAGGGTTGGCTCTCACCAGACAAGTACATCCCAAATGAACTTTGGCTAAAGTCTTAAAAGGTTTCTCAAACAGAATGAAATACAAAGGACCAAACTCACAGACCTGGAGTTTTGGAGTTTTAAAGGCTTCTTCAAACGACATGGCTATATCAGGGCTCTCTGAGTCAATCAGCACCTGCAGCTTCAACTGCCACATTGTTCCAGAGTCTCTAAACAATTCTGTCCCAGCTCTTGCCACCTCCAGAGCTTCCTTAAAGAACTTATGAAGCAACAACGCCCCAATCTAGAAAAGACAAAGGAAAATTAAATACAGAAACCTTTATTACCTATGTAAGTTGAGGACAAATAAAGACCTCATTTGAGGCAGTAACTGCAACAGCCTTTCCACTACAATTAAAAAAAAAACAGAAACAAGCTATGTGAGGAAATTTGTAGATATCAAAACAATTTTCGTGGCTGCTAAACAGGCACAAAATGAACAATTTGGAATTCCTCCTCCTTTCCCTGCTCGTATCCACAAGGGCTATCAAAAACTAGGGAAGTGGCCAGGTGCAGTGGCCCACTCCTGTAGTCCCAGCACTTTGGGAGGCCAAGGTGAGAGGATTGCCTGAGCCCAAGGGTTAGAGACCAGCCTGGGAAACTCAGTGAGAATTCACCTCTACAATAAATCAAAAAAATCAGCCGGGCTCGGTGGCTCAGCCTGTAATCACGCGCCTTGGGAGGCTGAGGTGAGTGGATTGCCTGAGCCCCCAGGTTCGAGATACGCCTGGGTAACTTGGCGAGACCTCATCTCTACAATAAATCAAAAAATCAGCCGGGCGTAGTAGAGCGCGTCTGTAATTCCAACTACTCGGAAGGCTGAGGCAAAAGGATCGCCGGAGCCCAGCAGGTCGAGGCTGCGGTGGTCGGGAGCGGTCACTGCACTCCAGTCTGGGCGACAGAGTGAGACTCCGACTCAAAAAATAAAAATAAAAAATCAGCCGGGCATGGTGGCATGTGCCTAAAGATCCAGCAACTTGGAAGGCTGAGGTGAAGGATCACCTGAGCCCAGCAGGTCCAGACTGCAGTGGCCATGAGCATGCCATTGCACTCCAGCCTGGGCAACAGAGTGAGACCCCAACTCAAAAAAAAAATAGTAATAACTAGGGAAGTCAAAAGCAGACAGCGTACATAATTTGGACTGTTTTAATAAGAGTTCACAACACTAGAAGCCACACCCACTAAGTAGTGTAAAAATCAGTAAAAACAAAACTAGGATTAGTGGGGTGGTAAGGAAATAGGCATATTCGTTCAAACACAGGTGGACACAATATAAACTAGTACAATTTTTCTGAAATGTAATTTGACACTATGTAACAAGAGTCCCAAAAGTGCTCATCTCTTAAATTCGAGAATTTTATTAATAAATATAGCCCATAAATAAATGAATGGAAGAAAATCTTACCTGTTTAAATGCTCATATCTACATTTTTTTTTTTTTGAGTTGGAGTCTCACTCTGTCGCCCAGACTGGAGTGCAGTGGCTGCTCCCAGCCACCGCAGTCTCGACCTGCTGGGCTCCGGCGATCCTTCTGCCTCAGTCTTCCAATTAGCTGGAACTACAGGCGTGTGCTACTAGGCCCGGCTAATTTTTTTTTATTTATTGTACAGATGAGGTCTCGCCAAGTTGCCCATGCGAGTCTCGAACCCGCGGGCTCAGGCAATCCACTCACCTCAGCCTCCCAAAGGGGCGGGATTACAGGCTGAGCCACCGAGCCCGGCTTCTACATTATTTTAACAGGGAAAAAAATGAAAACCAATTCAATTTTTTTTTTTTTTTTGAATTGGAGTCTCACTCTGTCGCCCAGACTGGAGTGCAGTGGCCGCTCCCGGCCACTGCAGCCTCGACCTGCTGGGCTCCGGCGATCCTTCTGCCTCAGCCTTCCAAGTAGCCAGAATTACAGGCATGCGCTGCCATGCCCGGCTGATTTTTTTTGACTTATTGTAGAGATGAGGTCTCGCTGCCCAGGCGGGTCTCGAACCTGCGGGCTCAGGCAATCCACTCACCTCAGCCTCCCAAAGGCACGGGATTACAGGCTGAGCCACTGAGCCTCGCTCAATTTTTTAAAATTACAAAAAAGTAGCTGGGTGCAGTAGCTCATACCTATAATCCCAGCACTTTGGGAGGCAGAGATGACAGGACTGCCTGAGTCCAGGGGTCCGAGACCAGCCGGGAAAACTTGGTGAGACCTCGTCTCTACAACAAATAAAAAAAAACTAGCAGGGCACAACAGCATGCGCCTGTAGTTCCAGATACTTGGAAGGCTAAGGCAGAAGGATCACCCAAGTCCAGCAGGTCAAGGCTGCGGTGGCCACGTGTGTGCCACTGTACTCCAGCTTAGGCGTCCGAGTGAGACCTTGACATACACACACACACACAAATGAAATAAAAACTACAAAAAAGTAAGTAAATTGCAATATGTAATCAGTTAATTCAGCAAGCAGTTTCACTGCACACTATATATGCAATAGTGAACACATCAGGTACATTCCCTATCACCCACAGAGCCTCCAATCTAATGGAAGAGAGCCAGATATGAGTCATGACAGAAATAGAGTCAGCTGCTACAGATGTACAAAGCAGAAGCACCCAACAGGGTTGACAGCAGTGATGAGAAAGGACTCCCAGAAAGGAAGCACCATTCGAGGTAAGACTTAAAGAGGAACAGACACTTAGGTGAAAGCAGAGACCCCAGGAAAAGGGAAGGGTCTTCTAACCAGCATGTGTTAAGACATCAAAGATGAGAGACGGGTTGGATATGAAAGAAGATTCAAGTTCAGAATGGCTGCAGGGTAAGATGCAAACGAGAGAATTGAAAGATGAGGCTGGAAATACAGGTAGGGGCCACATAAGGAGTTTGAGCTGCTTTACCCAAAGGACAAGGGAAGCCATAGAATAATCTGATACTTTTAAAAGATCATTCTGTAGAGAATCTCAAGGAGGGGTAGATACAAAATTGGCTGAACATTGAAGTCTAGTGGCAGCATGCTGAGGAACTTTCACTAAAAACAAGGTCATCAAATGAGTGATATGGTGGCTAGCTCAGGGAGGGCAGCATCAGATGTTTGAGAAGTATGGTGTATTTAAAATAGTCACAGTGAGCCGGGCTCGGTGTCTCAGCCTGTAATCCCACGCCTTTGGGAGGCTGAGGGAGTGGATTGCCTGAGCCTGCAGGTTCGAGACCCGCCTGGGCAACTTGGTGAGACCTCATCTCTACAATAAATCAAAAATTAGCAGGGCATGGTAGCACACGCCTGCAGTTCCAGCTACTTGGAAGGCTGAGGCGGAAGGATCGCCAGAGCCCAGCAGGTCGAGGCTGCAGTGACCGGGAGCGGCCACTGCACTCCCAGTCTGGGCGACAGAGTGAGACTCCAACTCAAAAAAAAAAAACAAAAACAAAAACAAATAAAATAGTCACTGTGGAGAAAGATGATAATGGAAAGAGAAGACTGCCAAAGCAACACTCAAAGCCCATTTGAATTTATAGGGTGTGACTGCTCAAGCAAGGAGTGCTAAAATCATCCAGGTCTGAGATTTTCCCAGACAGGCGTCATACTGGGAGAAGGATATCTCAGTCTTGGTATAACTATACAGTGGGCTATTATATTAACACATTCACTATGTAGATATGAAAATATTAATGTAAAAATAGTAGAATACAATACAAAATAACATTAATTGCAATTACGTAAAAATGGTATGGATCAAAAGAAGTAAGAGTTACACAAATAAAAGGCACTCAACAAATATAAAGATTTTTGGGCTGGGTGCAATGGTTCATACCTGTAATCCCTGTACTTGGGAAGACCCAGGAGTTCGAGATCAGCCTGGGCAACATAGTGAAACCACATCTCGGCCGGGCTCGGTGGCTCAGCCTGTAATCCCACGCCTTTGGGAGGCTGAGGTGAGTGGATTGTCTGAGCCCGCGGGTTCAAGACCCACCTGGGCAACTTGGCAAGACCTCATCTCTACAATAAATCAAAATGAGCCGGGCGTGGTAGCGCGCGCCTGTAGTTCCAACTACTTGGAAGGCTGAGTCGGAAGGCTGAGGCGGAAGGATCGCCGCAGCCCAGCAGGTCGAGGCTGCAGTGGCCGGGAGCGGCCTCTGCACCCCAATTTGGGTAACAGAGTGAGACTCCAACTCAAAAAAAAAAGAAACCACATTTCTACAAACAAAAAAATTTTTTGTAATTAGCTAGTACAACTGATAGGACAGAAATTTAAAAGGTCATCTCTACACAAACTAGACAACCTAGAGAGAATGGATAAATTATTGAAAACATAAAACCCCCTAACCCTGAAACAAGAAGAAACAGAAACCCTGAACAGACAACTAATAAGTAGTGAGATTGGAACAGTAATTAAAAGTCTCTCAACAAAAAAAATCCAGGACCTGACCAACTCAAGCCAAATTCTACCAGACTTTCAAGGAAGAATTACTACCAATTTACTGAAGACTGAAGAGGAAGGAATTCTCCCTAACTCATTCTATGAAGCTAGTATCATCCTGATATGAAAGCCAGGGAAAGACACAACAAAAAAAGAAAACTACAGATCAATATCCCTTATGAACACAGATGCAAAAATCCTCAACAAAATAGCAAGTGTCAACTTCTGAAACAAAGTAGTACATCAAATTTATCTTTACTATACCAATGATTAATCTGGGCCAGGCATATATTCAGGAAAAGAGAGATAGGTAGACAAACAAAATAAACCCAAATAGTAACTTTGTTCTGAGTATTTTTCACTATATAGTATTCCTCCCTTTATAGTACAGACTTCATTTTTAGCATATACCAAATACTGGCAGCCAAATGTAAACACTCTCTACATATCAAACTTCTAAATGGCCTTAGTCATAAAACCATATATGACACATGACTCTGGCACAAAACAAATGGAATAAAGTGTATGTAACTAGCAGCAAGTGCATTCTCTATCCCTTACCCACTGCTTGTATTGGACTTCTGGCAGAAGCTTGAGTTCATGTGCTTTCCTGAATGCAGTCATGGTTCTTTCCAGCCTCTGAAAACAGAAAAATCTTTCAGTTCATTACAAAGATCCCAGCAGGGGCCTCTGGCCTGACATGAAAAACGCAGTTCCGTATATTTCTGAGAATTCAGAGAAGGGACTGAGTTGCTCCTACATGGTGAGTTCACTTATGAATAGATGTGCTGGACAGTTGCACTAAACACAGCTCAGTAAGAAGAGAGACCCGCCTAATCTGGTGGCCAGTAACCTGGTGGCAAACCAGACTCAGCCCTTCAGAATGACAGGTCACCCACAAGGATCAAGAGTGGTTAAGCATGAAGCTCTCAGAAGCTGTCATAGACCAAAAAGAGTTGTGCTTCTGTTCTTTTGGAAGTAGTCACTTTCTAGTCAGCCACAGTAATCATTGACATAAGCCCTCACCTTCCTTCTGAGGAATCCACTATTTGTCTTCTTAGCAAATCTTTCCAAGCAAAAGGCAAAGTAGCACTTCCACATGGCCTCTGGAAAAGTCAGAAAAATCATACTATGTTGATCATACATACATCTTTTCTCCAAAGGAAAAACTCCTCTGAAGAAGGGTTTAAATTAGCCTGATGAAATATGTTATCCTGGCCGGGCTCGGTGGCTCAGCCTGTAATCCCAGCACTTTGGGAGGCCGAGGTGAGTGGATTGCCTGAGCCCACGGGTTCGAGACCCGCCTGGGCAACTTCACAAGACCTCATCTCTACAACAAATCAAAAATTAGTCGGGCATGGTAGCGCATGCCCGTGGTTCCAGCTACTTGGAAGGCTGAGGCACAAGGATCGCCAGAGCCCAGCAGGTCACGGCTGCAGTGGCTGGGAGCGGCCACTGCACTCCAGTCTAGGTGACAGAGTGAGACTCCAACTCAAAAAAAAAGAAATATGTTATCCTGATTACAGCTAATCAAACATCTCAAAAATTAGGGAAAAACAATTGAGTAATGGTATAAATATAAAAATTAAAGTCTTTTCCACCAGCCACAGTGGCTCACACCTGTAATCCCAGCACTTTGGGAGGTCAAGGCAGAAGGACTGCTTGAGCCCAGGAGTTCAAAACCAACCTAGGCAACAAAGCAGGACCTAGTCTCTTCAGAAAACCAAAAAATTAGCCACGTGTGGTGGCATAAGCCAATAGCACCAGCAACTCAGAGAGGCTGAAGTGAAGGGCTGCTTGAGCCCAGGAGGTTAGCCGTGATTGTACCACTGCATTCTAGCGTAAAAGAGTGAGACACTGAGTCAAAAAAAAAAAAAAAAAAAATTAGGCCAGGTGCGGTGGTTCACGCCTATAATCCCAGCTCTTTGGGAGGCAGAGGTAAGGGGATTACCTGAGCCCATGGGTTCAAGACCAGCCTGGGCAACTTGGAGAGACTTCATCTCTACAATAAATCAAAAAATTAGCCAGGAGTGGTGGTGCATGCCTATGGTTCCTGTTACTTGGAAGGCTGAGGCAGAAGGATCACCTAAGCCAGCCCAGAAGGTCGAGACTGCAGTGGCCATGAGTGTGCTACTGCACTCCAGCCTGGGCGACAGAGTGAGACTCCAACTCAGAAAAAAAAAATTAAATATCAAAAGATAATGAAGGAATTATAATTAAAGAGTCTTCTGAAGCATCATTTCCTAATTATTACTTCCGCCAAATAAATGAATATAAATACCACTACTATCAAGAAAGGTCATAAAAGCGCCGTCTTTCTCTCCATCAGAGAAAGAACAAGTTAGAAAGCCAAGCACATGGTAAACTGTACTACAGATTCCTGATAATGATTTTGGTAATGGGAACAGGAGCTCCAGTTTCACACTCATGGATACTATTACTTCTATACCACAGCATGGTTTGGTTAAGTTCACCTGTTGGCACGGTCATCACTGCCTCTTCATACACGGCGCAGCACCTCTCCTCCTTCCGGCCTACCTCCGCCGCTTTGGTTTGTTTCATTGCCGGCTGCTCTTCTCCTGGCTGTGACTCAATCTCTAACTCTCGCCTTGCCACATAATCCCAAGTGAGAGGATCATCTGTGTGTAAAATCTGAAGGCTGAAAAAGAAAACTTATTGACATCCTTACAACAAGTCTAATGAGAATATCAGACAGTTCCCTATGCTCTATAAATGTACACAAGACATTCCTTTAACAACTGCAGTACCATTAAGAGTCACTTCCCAACACTCTGAAATACCTTCATTCACTGTACAAACGTTGTCAATGGATCAGAGTTACCACACGTCTACTGAGTGCCAGAATCTTTCAGACATCATTCACAAAAGTTAATTTTCTCTTTTTTTTTTTGAGCCAGTCTCACTCTGTTGCACAGGTTGGAGTGCAGTGGCACATGCTCACAGCCACCACATCCTCAACCTGCTGGGCTCAGCAATCCTTCTGCCTCAGGCTTCCAAGTAACAGGAACCACAGGCGTGTGCCACCATGTCCAACTAATTTTATGACTTATTGTAGAGATGAGGTCTCACCAAGTTGTCCAGGTGGGTCTTGAACCCCCGGGCTCAGGGAATCTTCTTGCCTCAGTCTCTCAAAGCACTGGGATTAGAGGCATTGAGCCACCACGCCCAGCTAAATTTTAACTCTCAAGTTAGCTAGCAAAGTCAAATTTGCAGTTATCTGTGACAACATAAGCTTCCATGAGCTCCAGAAAACCTTATTGTAACTGGGATTTTGATTTTCTATAATATTAGAAGCAGAGAAAAAGCACAACTTAATCCTCTCCCAGAACCCTGAAGATATCCAAATAACAAACTGACCCAAGTTCTATTTCAACTCCTGAGAAAGTAAGGAGTGTTACCTAAGAATGGAATTATATACAGGGTAGGCTACAAATAATTCTTAAACTACATAATCAAACATTCAAAAATAAAATTAATCCAACATTTTTCTTTTTTTTTTTTTTTTTTTTGAGTTGGAGTCTCACTCGAGTTACCAAGACTGGAGTGCAGTGGCCGCTCTCGGCCAGTGCAGCCTCGACCTGCTGGGCTCCGGCGATTCTTCCGCCTCAGCCTTCCAAGTAGCTGGAACTACAGGTGCATGCTACCACACCCGGCTAGTTTTTTATTTATTGTAGAGATGAAGTCTCGTGAAGTTGCCCAGGCAGGTCTCCAACCCGCGGGCTCAGGCAATCCACTCACCTCGGACTCCCAAAGTGCTGGGATTACAGGCTGAGCCACTGAGCCCGGCCAGTTAATCCAAATTTTATCAGGAGATCAGAAATAGATATATTCATCTTTCTACATTTTACTTACTCATCATAAATTTCCTTTTGTAGATCTTTGGCAAAGTCAAACAGCTGTGCAACTGAAAGCAGTGACACGTGAAATCCTGCATCTAAATTAAAAAAGCATGGGAAGAGAGGTTCATTGCCAATAAGACTCTTAAGAATTACTTTACTCTAAAAGTACCACATTCTTGATGTACTGGAGTTAATATTTTTGTTTTTATTTATTTATTTTTTTTTTTTTTTTTTTTGAGTTGGAGTCTCACTCTGTCGCTCAGACTGGAGTGCAGTGGCCGCTCCCGGCCACCGCAGCCTCAACCTGCTGGGCTCCAGCGATCCTTCTGCCTCAGTCTTCCGAGTAGCAGGAATTACGGGCATGCGCCACCACGCCCGGCTGATTTTTTTATTTATTGTAGAGATGAGGTCTCGCTGCCCAGGCGGGTCTCGAACCCGCGGGTTCAGGCAATTCACTCACTTCAGCCTTCCAAAGGTGCGGGATTACAGGCTGAGCCACCGAACCTGGCTGTTTTTATTTTTATTTATTTATTTATTGAGTTGGAGTCTCACTCTGTCACCCAGACTGGAGTGCCGTAGCCGCTCCAGGCCACCGCAGCCTTGCCTGCTGGGCTCTGGCGATCCTTCCACTTTGGCCTTCCAAGTAGCTGGAACTATAGGCGTGCGCTACCACGCCCAGCTAATTTTTTGTAGAGATGAGGTCTTGCCAAGTTGGCCAGGCGGGTCTCGAACCCGCAGGCTCAGGCAATCCACTCCTCTCAGCCTCCCAAAGGCGCAGGATTACAGGCTGAGCCACCGAGCCCGGCTGTATTTTTGTTTTTAAATTGAGAAATAGGACAGAATGAGGGGGAGAAAGGTTATCTAACAGTCTCTTTACCCCATAGTCCCTCTACAGAAGCAAAGTTATTATTAATATTTTGGAGTATACATAAGAGAACAAACTAAATCATCTATTTCTATCTATTCTTCATGTGCGTTAAATATTCCATAGGAACTTATTGAAATGTTCGACTACAGCCCAGGAGAAATAAGTACTTTCTTTTTTTTTTTTTTTGAGTTGGAGTCTCACTCTGTCTCCCAGTCTGGAGTGCAGTGGCCACTCCCGGCCACCACAGCCTTGACCTGCTGGGCTCCGGGATCGTTCCGCCTCAGCCTTCTGAGTAGCCAGAATTACAGGCATGCGCTACCACACCCGGCTGATTTTTTTTATTTATTGTAGAGATGAGGTCCAGGTGGATCTCGAACCCGCGGGTTCAGGCAATCCACTCACCTCAGCCTCCCAAAGCGTGGGATTACAGGCTGAGCCACCGAGCCCAGCCGAAATAAGTACTTTCTGAAAGAAACAGGACACTATTCCTATAGTCTTATACATATTATAATGGAAATTTTCAAAATTAACTAAAGGACTTTCTAATTATACAAAAAATTTTCCACTTTCCTATCAAAAATAAATGTTCAAAGATACCTACCTTTAATTATGCTTACAGAATTTTTGTAGATGATCCGTGCCAACTCGCCCTTAAGGATTTCTTCAGAATAATCAAGATTTTCCTAAAGAGTATCGTATTACATAACTTAACAGAAAGGACCAATAAGCAGAAAAAGCACTAGGATGAAAATGAACAATCCTAGACTACCTATGCCATATGACCTCTGGCAAACCCATATCTCTCTCTGGGTCAGTTTCCTCACTTGTAAAGTATGTACTTGAACAAGATCACTTATCTTCCAACTATGTTCTTCAGGCTCCTGGAGTAGTGGCAAATCACGTGGCTTAAGGCCTCACTCTCCTCTTAGACCAGAACAGGTCCGATTTTACATGCCTTGTTTGCCCTTCTATGTAACATTTTATTTGAATAAAAAAGTTCCGAGCTGCAAACCACAATAAGAGATTATAGCAAAGTTCCTTTTCAGCTATAACATTCTAAATCTTTTCTTCAAAATTATTCTGTCACATAAAAAATTCTATAAAAAGGGAAAGTAAAGAAGGTTAGGAGTCACATATTTCACAACCTTTCTCAAGGTCCTTCAACCCATTAATATACTATTTAATGAGATCATATAGTGTTACTATCAGTAATAATTTTGAGGACACTAGATTCATTTCAAAATGTGACATTATATTGAAAGAAAAATATATTTCAAAGATTATCTCTTACTCCTAAGCAGGCTCAATATATAATGCTATTTATTGCTAACAAGTGAGAATACAATAATTACCACATCCATACTGGCTTTTTCAAATTCTTGCTTTTCCTTCCTCAGCTTTTCAGCATGCATCAGCTCCATCCGAAAGTACTACAAAAGGGAAATAATACCCTTAGAGATGTTCTGTTATAATTAGAAATACATATGTCATTTTTTTACCCATGAATATGGGACCTAGAAGTCTGGGGTGGTATTTCCTTTAAATAAACTAGCTGACAAGGTATGGTGACAATGACATTACTGTATGCTCTTTTGATAAGCAATGCTGACATATGAATCAAAAACCTTAAAAAGGTTATGTGTCAACTGGGCGCGGTGGCTCACGTCTATAATTCCAGCATTTTGGGAGGCTGATGTGAGAGGATTCCCTGAACCCACAAGTTCAAGACCAGCCTGGGCAACTTGGTGAGATCTCATCTCTACAATAAATAAATTTAAAAAATTAGCCAGGCGTGGTAGCATGTGCCTGTAGTTGCTGTTACTTGGAAGGCTGAGGCAGAAGGATCACCTGAGCCCAGCAGGTCAAGGCTGCGGTAACCGTGAGCATGCCACTGTACTCCAGCCTAGGTGGCAGAAGGAGACTTCTACTCAAAAAAAAAAAAAAAAATGGTTGTTTGTCCTTGGTCAGCACTTCACTGCTAACAAGCTGCAAAGTCTAACCCCAGTCTGGTGAAGAAAAGCAACAAGCATGCTACGATATCCTCAATCCAGTTGAGTTTGTCACATATACTCAAGGTTTTTGCAAGTGATTTCATTTATGGCCTTATCCATGTATGTCAAAAATGTCAACAAAGGCCAAGTGGGGAATCTGAACTTCCGACCTCTCTAGCAGTAGAGAAGCAGAACAGTATCCAAGGAAGTCAACTAAACAGAAGCTTTAAATAACATCTGGAAAGCCAGGCTTGGTGGCTCAGCCTGCAATCTTGCGCTTTGGGAAGCTGAGGTGAGTGGATTGCCTGAGCCCGCAGGTTCGAGACCCACCTGGGCAACTTGGCGAGACCTCATCTCTACAACAAATCAAAAAAATTAGCCAGGCATGGTAGCACACGCCTATAGTTCCAGCGACTTGGAAGGCTGAGGCAGAAGGATCGCCAAAGCCCAGCAGATGGAGGTTGCAGTGGCCAGGAGCAGTCACTGCACTCTAGTCTGGGCGACAGTGAGACTCCAACTCAAAAAATAAATAAATAAATAACATATGGAATCTCATGAAATAATACCTAAAACACATAAGATTCTATGGAAAAACACTCATCATACCACAAACCAGAAAAATCTCAACTTGACTGAGAAAACTCAAACAGAAGACACCAATATCAAGATAACACAGATATTAGAATTATCTGACAAGGATTTTAAATCAGCCATCATAATGCTTTGCAAAGACAAAAAATAACAAATGCTGGCAAGGATACAGAGAAAAAGGAACACTTACACACTGTTAGTGGGAATGTAAACTAGTAAAGTCACTACGGAAAATAGTATGAAGATTCCTCAAAAAACTACAAATAGAACTACCAGCAATCCTACTACTGGACATTTGTCCAAATAAAAGCAAATCAATATATCAAAGAGATATGTGAACTTTGTGTTTATTATAGCACTACTCACAGTAGCCAAGATATAAAATCAACCTAGGTGTCCAACAACAAATGAATGGATAAAGCATATATTCAGGAGGCTGAGGTGGTAGGTTCGCTTAAGCCCAAAAGGCTGAGGTTGCAGTGAGCCATGATAACACCAATGCACCCCAGCCTAGTGGACAGAGCAAGACCCTGTCTCAAAAAAAAAGTGGCATTTAATACACAAAGGAATACTATTCAGCCATAAAATTGCATACAATCCTATCATCTGCGACATGAAAGAACTGGATGACATGTTAAGTGAAATAAGCTGCGGAAAGAAAGTTAACCACTACATGTTCTTATTCACATGTGAAAGCTTAAAATGGTTGATAGTAGGTTCTCCCCACCTGTTCTGAAATAAAAATCAGAACAGAAGATGCTAGAGACTGGGAAGGGTAGGTGGAGGGAATAGGGAGAGATTTGTTAAAGGATATAGAATTACAGCTAGGTAGAAGGAATAAGTTCTAGTATTCTGTACCTCCATAATACGCCTATAGTTAAGAATAATATACTATATAGTTTTGAATAGCTAGAAGGAAACTGAATATTCCTGATACAAAAAAATGATAAATGTTTGAGAAGAGATATGCTAATTATCCTGACAACTATCACAACATCACTATGTACCCCATGAACATATACAATTATTATCTGCCAATTTTTTTTAAAGATTAAATTTGTAATAAATAAATAAAAAATGCTTTACTGAGTGATCACGGACACACTTAAAACAAATGAAAAAATATATATATCAGCAAATAGAAGACATAAAGAAGAACCAAACAGAAATTTTAGACCTGAAAAATATGGTATCTAAAAGTAAAAATTCAGTGAGTAGTCGGGCATGGTGGCTCACACTGTAATCCCAGTACTTTGGGAGGCTGAGGCAAGAGGACTGCCTGCGCCCATGGGTTCAAAACCGGCCTAGACAACATGGCGAGACCTTGTCTCTACAATAAATCAAAAAATTAGCTGGGCATGGTGGCATGCACCTGTAGTTCCAGCTACTTGGAAGGCTGAAGTGGAAGGATCTCCAGAGCCTAGCAGGCTGAGGCTGCGGTGGCCATGAATATGCTACTGCACTCCAGTCTGGGGGACAGAGTAAGACTGACTCAAAAACAAACTCAGTGAGTAAACTTAGAAGAATGCAGAGAACAAAAACATTTATGAATATTTTATTTTTCTATAATAAAACAATAAAAATTACCCAATCTGAACCACACAGAGAGAACAGGCTGAAAATTATGAAAAGAGGCTCAGGAATCTGTGGAACAATAACAAAAGATTGATCTCATTTGTGTCATTGAAGTTCTAGAGGAAAAAGGTAGGAGCTGAAAATTTACCTTAAGAAATAATGGAACCGGGCTCGATGGCTCACAGCCTGTAATCCCGCACCTTGGGAGGCTGAGGTGAGTGGACTGTCTGAGCCCATGGGTTCAAGACTCGCCTGGGCAACTTGGTGACACCTCATCTCTACAATAAATCAAAAAATTAGCCGGGTGTGGTAGTGCGCGCCCGTAATTCCAGCTACTTGGAAGGCTGAGGCAGAAGGATCGCTAGAGCCCAGCAGGTTGAGGCTGCGGTGGCCGGGAGAGGCCACTGCGCTCCAGTCTGGGCGACAGAGTGAGACTCTGACTCAAAAAAAAAAAAAAAGAATGACTAAAAATTATCCAAATTCAGCAAAAACAAACATATTATAGTAGAAAACAGGAAATCGTTTTTCGTTTCCTTTTCCTTTTTTTTTTTCTTTTGGTAGAGATGGGGTCTCGCAGTGATGTCCAGGCTGGCCTCAAACTCCCGTCCTCAGAAATTCTCCCGACTTGGCCTACCAAAGCTCTGAGATTACAAGCATGAACCACCAAGCCTGGCTCAGCTTTTAATTTTTTAAGAAATGCAACCATCAGAACAAATACACCATTCTGGCATGGTGGTCACAACTGTAATCCCAGCACTTTGGGAGGCTGGGGCGAGAGGAGTACCTAAGCCCAAGGCAACTTGGCAAGATCTCGTATGTACAATAAATCAAAAAATTAGCAAGTAGTGGTGTTGTGTGCCTGTAGTTCCAATTACTTGGAAGGCTGAGGCAGAAGAATTACCTGAGCCCAGCAGGTCAAGATGAGAGAGAGAGTGACTTGGGGAATACTTAGGGCTTCCAAAGACCCTTTCAGGGGGTCTGCAAGGACAAAATTAATTTCATAGTAACACTACCATGTTATTTGTTTTCTGCTTTCATTTTGTCAGGAGTTTAAAGTTTCTCACGAGACTATATGATGGGTACTATGATGCACAATGAATGAAAAAGCAGATATGAGAATCAAGCTGTCCTCTATTAAATCAGATATTCAAGAGGCTGCCAAAAAAGAAAAACAATACCACTCTTCTCCTTAAACTTTGCATTAAAAGCTATTTTCATCTAAAAGTATTCTAAATTAATTAATATGTAATAGGTTTATCAGTATTATTTTAAAATAATTTTAATTCTTGGTTTTAATATTTAATAAAAACTGATAAGCCGGGCTTGGTGGCTCAGCCTATAATTCCGCGCCTTGGGAGGCTGAGGTGAGTTGATTGCCTGAGCCCGCGGGTTCAAGACACACCTGGGCAACTTAGCAAGACCTCATCTCTACAATAAATCAAAAAATTAGCCGGGTGTGGTAG